ACGTTACGCTAATATGTAAACCATATTGTGAAACATTCCGGGCGATCATCCAATCAGATTTAAAGCCCGCTATGCTGTCGATGACAGAATCGATAAGTTTTTGATGTCAGCAACTTGTTGATTTCAACTCGCTAACTTATCAATTCGCTTATCAGAAAATTTTTTAGCTGCTCCAGAATTTATAAAGACAGCTATAATACGTATATACATTCTCTGGTTGTCAGATTGTATACTTCTTTCTAATATTGTATCATTGTAATATAAAGATTCGAAATTGCTCTAAAGTCAACCAATTTTAAATTGATAGCAACCATTTATAATTTGAATCTGGGATACAGAGGCTTGGTTTGACTAATTTTTAATCGAGTATAGTACGTAGCAGATCGGTTCAACTTGAAATTGATCGGCTTTCAAATGGCCTGCAAAGATCGGCTCTGCTTTGCCGTGAGCTGAGCCAGCCGTTTAATTTCCGTTACAAATACGTAAAAATGATTCGAAATAGTAATACGCTCTAAATTTTTAATTGATGTAAATAGTTAGAGCACAATTTTTGAAATTGCAGGATGATTCTAAATGATTTTAAATTGTTTAGATCAACTCGTTCTGTTGAACCATTCTGTTTCAGAGCATTTAGGCTAATTCTTATAATACTACTTTTTATTGTCACTTTAACATATTTTGTCTATTCTCTTCAAGGAGTATGATATGATTTTTATCATTCAGATTTGTTTATTTCTGCTAGCAATCCACCATCTCTAATATTTCCAGGTATGTATAAATAATTAATTATTCTGTATATTATATATATTAATAGCACATAACTTCTAGATTTTTCAATATGTCTCACAGGTATTGTTTTTAAAAAACAATTTTATTTTCTTGAAAAAAGGATTTTAACTAATAAACATCTTTAAAGACTTGAACAAGGATTTAAACCTTGATAACGAGAATGAATATTATAATATTAGTAATCCGTATGATCCGAGTGAATTTCCTATTGCATATGACTCAGAACTTAAGATTTCTAATATTACATGTAATACACCTGTTGATAAGTTGATGGAATCATGCAATGATAATATTAATTACACTAGTAATGGTTGTTGGGCTTTTTCACCGTTTAATTTTTCCGAGAGGATAAAGTTTTATGAGGAAAAGTTACAATGCGATGATTCATTATGTAATATACGTATGTTGAATAATTCTTATAAGGCTATTATATTAAATATTACTTTAAATGTATCGTCATCCACTGATCATTTGGCTGTAAGGTTTAATTTTGCTTTTCCGGATATGAATACTAAAATTCCTCCACGTTTGAGATTTAATATGAACCCATTTAACAAGGGACAGTTGGTTATATTCAAATTTTCTACTACTATAAGGAGAAAACATAATTCTCTGTTAGCTAAAATGTTTGGATTTGAACCTGATTTAGTGGAGGTATTTATTAATATTGAAACAAAAGAACTTCAACAAACTTTAAATTCCTCATATACTATGATATTGCAGCCAAAAGACAATATTACATATTATGAGGATTACATTTCTCATCATAGTAGTAAGTATATAAATTATTATTTGCAAATTTCTAATGAATTAATTTTTTAATGAAAAATAAATCTTTTTGTTATAGTTAGTTCTATCGTTTCAAGTACTGGTGGTCTTTATGGAGCACTTATTGGAATATATGTTCTACTTTTTGGATCTGCAAAGCTCTCCCCTTGGTAATATAAAAAGTTAATTAGCATTTCGGCAATCATCATAAAAGTTTATTATTGCATCATTTAATCATTATCTATTTACAGGGGTATCGTACAAAAATATGCTTGCTGTTGGAATCTTCGTGAAGATTATATGCATTGATTAATGAAACGATATGTTTCTAAAGCAGGAATTCCTTTGGTTGAAAATCCATCCAAATTGCCTCCAAATGCTACTGTAGAAAATAGAGTTGCAACATTAGAAACATTATTAAGGGAGTTTTTTTTGGATGACAGTTCTTTAGTAACGTTAAAAGAAATACATACGAGATGTGTTAGATATCAATATAACAATGCCTTGATTCGTTACAGAATGATATTGTTGTAAATGTCAATGAGAATAATACTTTTGATGAATGATGGTACATTTCAGAATGATGTTGCTATAAATTTGATGAAAACGATACTTTAATGAGAGATAACATTTAACAATGATAATTGAAAGAAGACTATTGTCTATTGGGAATTCTATTTATTCTATTCTATTGCTCTATTGCTCTATTGAAAATTGGTTATATTAAATTATTATAAAATTTATAATTACCTTTTAACTAATTATTTGGTTGTTTAATAATTGCGGATTAATAACAAAAAAAAATACTTTTTTTTTATATGTAAATACAGAAATAAGAATGCCCTATTATTCTATTTGCGAAAATAAGTTTTCTATTGGCCAACCCTGTATAATATAAAAATATATATGTACATATTAGTTTGTGATGATATTATTTGCAATTAAAGATCCAAATATATTTATCGTATCTATTATGTTTATTATATACGTTTTTTAAACTTATAAAAGGATTAAGTGTTCGAAATTTAGATTTTAAAGCGATGTGTTTTTGCTTTGCATTATAAAATGTTTTAATATAATTTTCGATAGCCTATTTCTCATGCGGACTTGTAAAAATTGATAAGGGATCTTAAAGTTTTATTTGGGCTTTGTTATAACTACTGTAACTTATACCGCTTTTTATTCAAAACGTAAATGTCATAAAGACGTAAATAACACTATAACAAAGGTGTATACATTATTGCAGCATATATCTGATTTTTAAAGGTAGAAAGTAAATAATTAAATAAATAATGGCTAAATTTGATAAACATTTAGTCAATATTTTCAAATGTATAAAAGTTTTCATCAATATCATCTTTATATTCATAACTTTCACTGGAATAATAAGAATATAGAACTAATAGTAAGAAAATCATTAAAATTTTATTATAAGAATTAAAATTAAAAAAGATTGAAAAGATTGAAAATTAAAACTTACTATAATCTTTCAAGCCTTTACCGAAATTTTTTTTGCATTTATAAGAAAAAAATGTCGTACATAAAGTAATGCATGTAAGGCCTGAAACTAGCATCGAAGTTAAATGTTAAGTAGAGAAATATTAGAACAAATAAATTATCAATTTAGTAAACATATATATATATACATACTTGCCACAAAAAGAAAAATCAAACTAATAATCAGTTTTAAGTTCAAATGTGAATTTTTATCGATGCTATCGATGTTTAATTTAAAAATGTATAGAAAATAATAATTAAATGCATAATACACCAATTGTAATACACTAATAAAATAGTGAATGTATATATATAAGTTCGATTCTGATTGCACCTTTAAGAAAAAATAGGTAGTATAACTGTAAATACTGTATGATCTATTTTATCAATATATATCTGATATTATATGACTTACTCCTTTAAGGACTGCAAAAATATTAAATGTGTTCAACAGAACGGGTGCTAATGCATTTAAATCAACATATACAGGGTGGCCTGACAAACTCAAAAATTTAAAATATGTAATAATATTCAAAATAAGAATATAAGAAATAAAATATATGCAAGAAATTAATCCTTTATACCAAATAAAAATACCTGTGATTTGAATAGTTGCGAATTAATATGATATAAAATATATCAAACATAAAATAATAACCTTACTTTTAAAATTTTTCACACAAAGATCATTGCTAATGTTATATAATTTTGAATCAATGTTAGATACAATAATTAAATGTATATTTTTATATGAAAAAGTTAAATTTAAAGTTTACCGTAATGCATATGATATATAAAGATGAAAAATTACAAAAACAAAAAAATCAATGCATATAATGTACTTTACTATTAGAAAAGTAGCGGCAGGATATTGATTAGATTTCAGATTTATTATATCTAATGTAAACAAGGTTATCGCGTAAATAGATGCTTTAATAAAAATAGCTGTTAGCCAAAAAATAATAACGTGGACTTTGCTTCGGAAAACAGTCTAAATTTGCAGTGAACATTAAACAATCAATAAAGACATAATTCAATCAAATTATAAAACTTACAGCTATGTGAGCTGTTATAAAACAATAAATAGGAAAAGATATAATATCCAAGATTAATATCTTTCCTTGTCGGTAATAGTCAAGTTCTGGACTATTACTAAGTGTAATAATTAGCAGAGTAAATAACGATCCTTCTAAAATAATAAATCCAAACATATAACTACGTATAATGTGTTGATTATGAAAATCCTTAATTCGTTTGATTTTATACATCCTTCGAGCAAAAATAAGTGAGATCACGATATCAAAAGAACCGAAAATAAATAAACGATCACGTATATATCTTTACTTGTAGTAGATAATACGTAGATTGTTCATGAATATTGGTATTCGTAATAACTTGCAGCTTTTAGCAAGTATATTGTTTGGGCAAAAAAAAGAAGGGATAAAGATTTGGAAGTTAAGGTCTATAATACAGTAAAAAGATAACAGAAAATGATCAATTCTACTGATTACGATCTACATGAGTTTAGTTCTATCATCGTGCCTAGTCTTCGATGATCCTGCATTACAGTAGCTAAGCATGATTTTCGTTTCTACAGTATTGTCATTGTCAAAACCAGTATGTGTATACTTAATAAAATAAAATAAACAAATTGTTTACTTCGAATAAGATATGACAGACAATAGTGTAAAATAACCAAAAATTTTTCATTATTGTTATTGATTAACCTTTTCAGATATTCTAATAGTTATCATTATTATTATATAATAACTATAATACATACCGGTAAGACGTATTTTTTAACCTTTTTTCATACCTAATTTGATCAGGATAATAGGGAAAATCAGACCTGTTTATTAAAGCGCGCAGATGTGGCTAAATTATCAAGAGGTTATTAATGCTAACCTAGTTACGTAAACAATTAAATGGTTATGTATATTAGTATTTGCATACCATATAAAGGGATCCAAATACCATTCTAGAGAAAGTTCGAATAATAAAAATGCAGACAATCACCTAAATTCAACCAATACTTTGTCCGCGACCAATCAAAATCGCCAATTTTCTGTTTACCAAATCAGTCCGCTGAAGTAAAAAAATCCGTACAGTCTCTAATCTTAATGGTTTTTTTTTTTTTTTTTTTCGAAGTACTGCATCTTAATTTATTAAAAGGTAAAAAAAAAAAAAACTAAATTTGACAAAGAAATATATCAATCAATATAAAAAATTTAATCAATATTGTCTTTATATTTATAAGCTTTGCTAGAATAATAAAATAAGAATATCGACCTAATAGCTGAATAGTTAGATGAAAACTTCAATAAAAGAGCACTAAATTCAAAGGATTTAGATAATATTTGAATTAAAAGCTACTCTAATCTTTCAAATCTTCGCCAAAAAAATTACTTTGTATTTATATGAACAAAACTATCATGTACAATGAATGTATTGCAAGTCCAAAGCTATTTAGAACATTTAATGTTAAGTGAAACATTAAACTGAGGCAATGAAGCATACATATTGTATATCATGTAGAAATCCACTACTTAAGCAGATTCTAAATGCACCTAAATCGAGACAAAATTTTAAATTGGCAAACTAAAGCTTTTCTGATTCTACTTGCAATATTTAAATTTCAGTTAAATCTCAGTATATTGTAAAGTTGTATATATGTCGTACGTCGGAATGGAATTATTGTAGATTTAGAATCCACCTAGGTTGATTCCGAATAAACATAGATTGCAATAGAATTTTATAACGTCCCCGAGTTGTTAAAGAATTCAAATTATTTCATCGAGTACGTTGCTTTGGAATTTAAATCATTTAAAGATAGGATTTATTCATAACACAGTGCATTGCAAATTAATTAAATTTAAAAGCATGACACGAAAATTTTACATCTATGATTAGTGGGATAGCAATTATTCCTACAGGTATATTTATTTTTACATTTACAGCGATTTTTATGCATTTTTGCAATTGCATTTAATATTACCTACTTTTTGTGATGAGGATTGCATAATAGATGCTTTTCGAATACCTATGAGCATTGAAAGAATACCATTCTAATCACGTATGCAAACGTATTTTTGTCATCCTTGATTGTTGTATTTGCTGGATCTTGTAAAACCTTAATATAAAAAACAAAAGTCTTCACGTAAGGTTTCATGTTGCCTATTTGCCGACTTATTACTAAAATATTTGGAAAGTAATTATTCGAATAAATTACGGGGTAAAGATGGATAATCTTAATATTCGGTCATCAGGTAGAGAGAGTTGCGAAGTATGAAAAAGTTAAATAAAAAAAAAGAAATAATAAATTAGTTATATTTATCTTGATGATTTATTACAGTATCGAATTTAAAATCAAATTTATCAATTATATAGTACCAATATAAGTTGCCTTTAAATTTCGTATCAACTTGGACTACATTTGGAATTCCGTTCCAACTTAAGTGGATTCTAAATCTACAATAATTTCGTTCCGACGTACAGCATATATACATATTTTAGTTACATTAGATTATAAAAAATATGGTTACTGTGGATTATAGCTACAGTAGTTCCGCAAAGCAATTTACCTTTTTACATTTGCAGATATTTTTTTTTGCATTTACCTTTGCAACTACATTTTATATGTGATATTAATTGTTCTTGTGAAAGCTTTACGTACACTTATAGAGAAATAGTGACAAATTCAGGAAATCGTTTAGACCCTAAAGAATTTCAATTGCATTATGTGTAATTTTAAGATCATTTTAGTATTTTTATTTCGTGCAGCATAATTATTTTTAATAATTGTATTGAAAGTATGTCTTAGCATTTGAGTAGAAAAATAGGAATTTAGATACATCAGTCAAGTGTAATGTCAGAAAATTTTCAGGGTAATGATTTAATTAAGGGATCTACAAGTTGCAGCACATATAACGATCGATAGGTTTTGTAAAAAAAAAGACAGTTTTCACTTCTAAGCTAACATTTATATCTTACAGTATAACCAGTACAGTATTCTTTATTATAATAAAAAATTTTGTTATTTCATATTTATATACTATCTAATTTTTTCCCT